GCTGATGTTAATCTCACTGGCCCCACACTGGGCCCCAGAATCCTCCAATCAGGACCCCTCTAAGATCCTTCCATTCAGGTGGCCTACCCTGCCTTCATTCAGGCTATCTAGCTCCCTGAAACAATTTCCCCTCAGGTGTGGTCCCCCAGGACCTTTGGCCATACAGGCCCTGGCCTCACCTCCAAGGCCAGTTAGAAACCCCAGGCCCTCCTAGACCTGGATGTCCCTTGCAGTGGGCCCCTGGCCCTTTTGACCGGTCTGGTCCTGGCCCCAGCATTGACCAGTCAAGGGTATTCTATTATCAGGTCTCTAAGCCTCTAGCCCCACTCTCTCTCTGGGGTCTGCCCTCTGGACCCTACTAGCAGGTGACCCACCCAGTTATGGGAGCTAGGGTTAAGGTGCCCTGACCCACTTTACACCAGGGTGGTAACTGGCCTGGCATTTCCTAGGGTATCCCACACCACTGAGAGCCCCACCAGGCCACCCACTCCCAGCAGGGTGCAGTTTTAGGTCATGCCCAGGACCAGGAGCCTCCTTTCCATCCCCTGCAGCTCCTGCCTTTACCTCCAGAATGATACCAGCAGTCTTATAGTCAGGCAGTGTTGCTAGCTGGCTTACCAATAGCAAAATGCCCTGCTTATATAGGCAGCCCTGAATCTAAACATGGCTGCTGCAATCAGGCACCTGCTGGCTGCTTGGCTTAGGTCTTAAAGTGGCAGGCACAAACAGTTCCCAGCTACATGCCCCCTTCCTCTAACTGCCCTCTCCTCACTCTCCCCCAGCCCCAAACAGCTGCTTGCAGCCTGGAAGGCTGCAAGGGGAAACCTGCAATTTCCTGTGGCTTTCTCCTTTAAAGAGGAAAATCCGTGGTTTTCTCCTTTAAAGGAGAAAATCTGTGTTTTTCCACAGCAAACGGAAAACCCAGATCCCTGGTGATCATCTAAGTTCAACTAGCATAGAGGAAAGACCAAAGGGAAAAATTCCCCTGCCCAAATGCCAAGCTTCATTTGCAGCAGCCAGTTAGGGAAGGGCCCGGGCCACTGAAGGACTCTTCCATCTGCAGTGCAGCGAAAGAGAAAAGGGAAGCATAGAACTGAGGGTCTTGATTTTCTTCTTTATAGGTATCTCTCTTGGGTTTACGGTGACCCCTGGACTATGTCTGCTCAGAATCTAAGGCCAGACTTGGAGCCCAGCAATTCCCCTGTGTCCTTGGTCACTGACCAGGTTACTGAGTGTGGAGTAAATGAGCAGGTACTTCACATTACCTATTGCTCGGGGTTGGCTATGGCATACAGCTGTCTAGAGGTGTAACTAGCCATTAGCATGTCCTGGACAGTCCTTTCTTCTTCCTCCCCCATCTCCTTGCAGCCTCTTTAGAGCACCTCTGGCTCCAGAGGCTCCAGAAGCTCCAAAAGCAAGGAGAGAAGAGCAGCAGTAGTAATGAAGGAACAGTAGCTGGGGTCTCCAGCTGCTGAGGAGAGATATCACCTCATTGTTTTTGCCACTGACACTCATGTCGAGCAAAACCCTTTTTCAGTGGCAAAAAAAAGATGACATCTGCTCCCAGCAGCAGAAACTACATTTCCCAGGGTGCCTGTCACTATTGCACACACTGTTGTGCCACCACCATGGCTGTATGTCCATGCTGCTGGAGCAGGAGCTGGAGTCAAAACCTGGAGGTGAACGTCCAGTGTAGGGAGGACAGGGAGCGGGGACAGAAGTGTGAGACATTGTATTCTTCCCATCTGCATCGTGCCCCAGGCTCATGTCCCACTCGCCCACCCATACACAGGAGGCCTCCATGCCTCTTAGGTGGGACGGAATTTGGCCTTTGAATTATTTTAACTTTTTTCTGGATGCTAATCAAAGCTTACGTTTCTTGGCTTCAGGAGGATGCCAAACCAATGGAACTTTTCTTAGGATATGAGAGCATGCATGCTTTTTTATACTTGTGTTTCATTCCCATGGGCAGGGTTGGTAGAAAATTGTACTCTGAGCTGAGGACTTATGTAGCTGCTAGACTGGGATTTTAACATGAGGTTTCAGAGGCTGTGGCACAGGCTTTATGCAAGGATAGTGTTTGGGATCCATTGATGTTAAATAAGGAGATAGGGAAATGGATTTAAAGCATCAGTGTCTCAGCCTCCCTGTGCCTAAGTTTTGGATCTTGGTGTCTGAATAGGATTTCTAAGTGCAGAATTGCACAATTCCTTTGGGGCAAGGGATAAAGCCAGATTGCAGTTACACACCCCAGCACAAACTGCTCATGTAGATGATGTGCATGATGCAGAGATGGTGAGAATCTCTCTCTTTCACTGTCTCTCTCTCTCTCTCTCTCAACCTTTTTTTCCCATGCTTCTAAGTTGTTGGGAGGATGTGTATTCTGAGGTCTCTAAACAATGTGATGTTGCGTGTAAATTATTATAATTTAAGTGAAAGTGAATGCTACCTGACCCCACTTGTACCAGTGAACAGGTCATACATCCTCAGTGAATTCTGCTCTTAGAAATGCCTGAAAAGACCATCCAGAACATACCAGTCTGTGTTATGGATGCAGTACTAACATTCAGACAATTGATAGGACAGACAGGAAGGAGGCTGCTACAGCAACTGACTACATAGCCATTCAGAAATCTCATGTGAAATGCCTGGCTTCTTAACAAATGATTCCTTTATAGAAAACTGCCAAGACAAATGGAGCAAGCAGGCAACCTGGCAAGATTTGGTTTTGGAATAATTACCCTGCACTGCATTGTAAATTCTCTAAAGCCCTAAAATGAACCACAGTAGGTATTTATGAAGGGGTATATATATTAGACAGAATATGCTAATTCATGACTGTGTCATAATAGCCATTGCACTAATAAACCAAACTGAAATATGAGCTGTGTCAAGTCTACGTTGAAGGATGTTACTGGGTCCTGACAAAAAAAAAATTGTAAAGAGTTTTGAAATTCAAGGCCACTATTTAATTGCGTAACTTTGAATTTTTACAATTGGTATTGGTATTTTGAATTATACCTTAATCGCTTGTTCTGTCACTGACTTGTGTTGTTGTCCATGCAACACCTTGTACAGTAGGCCTTCCTCCTTGCTTTCATATTATGAGTCTGATACTAAAGCCCTAGCTGCTTTCTCCAGGAACAAGATAACTTCCTTGTCTAACAAATCACTTGTACTCTT